CCTGGGTGGGGGTGGCTCGGGGCTGCGGCAGTCCTGGGTGGAGTGGTAGGGGGGCAAGCCAGTCCCTTTACCCTGCCTGGTGACTGTCTCTCTTTTCTGTATGGTTTTATAAGAAGCAATCCCATTCCAGGCACATACTATGTAACTGGCACAACCAAACCCTGACCTTGGTTTTAGTTGCGAAAAGATGAAATTGCATACCAAATTTGGTGGCTCTAGGACTTACCATTTAGGAGTTCTTGAATGAACAGACAGATACAAACTCTCTCAAATCTATAGTAGATACAAGCTAAAAGTGTCTTTTTAAAAAAGAAATTGGCACACCCAGACTCTGGTAAGGAAAAGTTTCCCACTCGCTTCTAGTAATTTGCCAAATGCATTTTTTCATGTTGCGATTCAAGCTACAGTTTATAAGTAAGGATAGTCAAACTTTGATTGAAAGAATTGTTGTGTTTTAACCTGTTCTTATCCTCAGATATTTTTTCTCCATAGTTAAAAAGATGCACTCTTAGTATATTTTACAAGCCTGCTTGCCTTTTGAGCATGGAACATACTTTGTTTTGAAAAATAATACCAACACTCATTTTTATTTATACTTTGGCTACGTCTACACTGGCCCCTTTTCCGGAAGGGGCATGTAAATTTCACCAGTCGTAGTAGGGAAATGCGCGGGGGATTTAAATATCCCCCGCGGCATTTAAATAAAAATGTCCGCCGCTTTTTTCCGGCTTTTAAAAAAGCCGGAAAAGAGCGTCTACACTGGCCCCGATCCTCCGGAAAAAGCGCCCTTTTCCGGAGGCTCTTATTCCATAATTGATTCCAGCATCTTTTCACATATTGATATTATTGCTTTATATGGGTCCTCTTTCTAAAGATAAGTATTCTGTACCTGTCCAGATATGAGACCTCACCTGTTCGCCATGAGCTCGCAAAGATAATCACTAATGATTGCTTCATCTAGCTCCCTAATTCTAAGGTGAATTTCATCAGGCCCTGCTTACCTGAATACACCTAATTTACCTAATGTTCGCACACCTTTCCCCTGGCTAATATTAACTGTGTTAAATAGCTATTCACTATTAACGTTATTAGTGAAGAGTGAATAAAATAGGCATTTAACACCTCAGCTTTCTTAATGGCATCCATTCTTAACTCCCCTTCCCACTAAGTACTGGGTCTACACTTTCCTTCGTCTTTCTCTCACTCTTTACTTATAGAGCCTCTTTTTACAGCCATTTATGGCCTCTTCTACGAATTATGCATTTTGGCTCTTAGTCTTTGTGAGTTTGTCCTTCTATGCATGTGCTATTCTTCTGTACTCATACTTAGCAATTTGTCCATGTTTCTATTTTTTGTAGTATTCATTTTTGATTTATATGTATAATTCTCTTGGCTCTCTCTTAAAACTGGTTTTCCATTTAGGCCTTGTCTTCACTGACTGGGAGATCAATGCTGCAGAGAACCATCTCCCAGAGGTCAGTTTAGTGGCTCTAATAAAGGTGCACTAAATGGACCATCGGTCACGCTCATGTCAACCCGAGTACTCCCCCAGGTCATGAAGAGTAAGGGAAGTCAATGAAAGAGTTTCTCCTGTCGACACCCTCAGTAGGGATGATGGGGTAAGTCGAACTAAGGTATGTTGACTTCAGGTATGCTATTCAAATAGCTGGAGTTGTGTACCTTACTTTGACTTTGCCCTCCTAGTGGAGACCTGGCCTTAGGCATCACTTTCTATGGATACAAAGTTGACAACTTAAAGATTTTGGGCCTGATGAGTAAAAAGTATAACTGCAAAGAAACCAGGGAAGTTTCCCAGATGAAAAACTGGTGTAAAAGAGTGGAGAATCAAACCCTAGATTACGAATACTACATGCAAAGTAAGGATATTCAGAAAATTAACATAAACATGTGAATGAAGAGAGAGATAATTAAAATGTTCTGAAGGACTATTTTCTCATGGATTTAAGAACACACACAATTCTAACATTTGGGGGTTTATTACTGATTTGGGATCCAAGCTAGGGATGTTAAATTTCGATTAATTCGCTAATAGAGTAGCTGATGGAATTTCTATTCGATTAGTCAGTAAGGGGGGTGCTTGCTATCCTGTTGAGCCTCTTGCTTTGAAATGTTATATTTCAAAGGGAAAAGTAGCGGGAATCCGCAGGCAGCTCTTGTACGTTTCAAATGGAGAGGAGCAGCAGTCCAACCGGAACGAGTGGGACTGTTTCGATCCCCACTTGTGCCATTTCCCCGATGCCTTCTACTTCTCCTGCCCCCCCACGTAGACGGTGCTCTCCCCGCCCCCTTGCTGCATCTCTCTGATAAAGGCAGCAAGTGTGGGGGGGAGCAACTAGTCGAGTTCCTACTTAACTACCCAATAAGCATTTGCTTATCAGGTAGTCAACTAGTTGCTTACATCCCTAATCCAACCCTGCTCATATTTGTCATGCAAACAGTGCCAATAATATCATTTCTAAGTCACCTTTTAAACCAGGATGAGAGCCCCCATTTTACCAAGCTAATTAAAAACAAAGAAATCCACATGTGAAAAAGCAAAAGTCACAAACAGGTCTCCCAGATTTCTTGGAGACATTTTTATCTGCTCTGGTCCATGTTTTCATTGACATCAAAAAGAATATATTTTGACTCGCTGTGATGATGTTAAGTTGTCAGTTTAAAATCACGGAGCAAATTAACTTACCTCAAGGTTACTCAGCAATGCAGCATTTGCATCTTTCCTGAAAAACAGAAAATTATGCATGTCTCAAAAGAAACGGTCACAAATCCATTCTCTCTTTTTTACTGATTGGGGGGGGGGGACGGGACGGGACGGACATTTTTCAGTAAATTCTGAGAATTTTTTAAATAAAATCTTCAAGATTTAATTCTGTTAAATCCTCTACAATTCCTAGCTATTGCTGCCTTTAGGAGTTACTTATTTTCACAAACTTCAAACACAGCTATTACAAATATTCTTACACAATTAATTTGTGTAAGAATATTTGTATCATCAAGTGTTTAACTTGCACAACAGAATCATCTTAACTGGGACAGCCCCTGGACTGGCTTAACATCCTAAATAATCATAGTGAAAAATTCCCTGAAGGTGGACCCTTAACACAAGATTATTAAAAAAAAGCATACTGCACAGAACGCAAAAGAATAATAGTCATTAAATTTCATCTTTATTTTGTTCTTTTAATGTTTATTTGAAAAGTTCCATATTAGCAGACTGAAGTTTAGAGTTTCCCATCACTCAACACCTGCCAAATGCTTCCCTATTAAGTGAAATGTATAATAATTCTATCCCCATCAACAAAAAAAATAATTGCCATTCACTATCGTTAAGCTAAACAAGTTTGCTCTGAGTTATGCAAATTTACTTAATTAGGACATTCTTAATTGGGAAAAAATACTATAATTATATTTTAAAATACATAAATAAATGTTATGTTTAAAAAATAGGCAAGAGCACTATACCTCACCAGAGCAACGCATTATGCTGAACAGACAGTAGTAACAACAACAAAAAGTTATCAAACAAAACAAAATAAGGACTTTTCCCATGGTGCCTGAGTTGCTTCATATAAAAAAGACACAATATAGTGTCAGACAGCCAACTTTTTAAATGGAACTCTCACATTCATCTCCTTCAAATAAGTTTAATGCCTTCTACAAACTTTCATGGGTTCTATTATTGTTTTTAAATTAAAGGGACCTTCTAAACTTGAGAGAAACTTCCGCAAGTAAGTGCTCTCACTCACTCTCACACACACACACACACCACACACACCAGTTTTCATTCATATTTTACAAACCATATTGCTTTTGTTTATTTGGCAAATGCAGTTCTTTGGAATCTTTGCTTTCAGTCTCCACAGGAAACCCCTATGGTTTGGGGACATTCCTTGAGATAATGACATAGAAGAATCACAAATAAAATCATCCAATTAAAAAAATAAGATGATTATGTGCAGTAAACACAAGGTTTGCAGGATGTAGTTCTGTGAAGAATGAGATTTTTAAATTATGTTCAAGTCTACAGTTCAGGGGCTTCCAGGGCACAACAGTCCAAACTTTTCAGGTACCAATAGGTGGCAAACAAACTGCTCAGAGTTGGGATTTTTTTGCAAGCAGTTTATATTTTGCCAGGCTAGCTGGACTTTAAACTGAACAACATAATGAAACACAGTTGTGAGGAGTAAGGGAAGCCAACAGGAGCCTTTGCTCCCTTCAGACTCCCTTTGTGAAGACAGCACCAAGCTTGGCTTAAGGTATGCCAACTCCACATTATTTACATAGCTGGAGTTGTGTACCTTAAGACAACCTTCTGGGTCTAGTGAAGACCTGACCTTAGTAATGCATTAGACTGCCTTAGAGAATTATTGATGGCCTTAATTGCAATCCTAAGTAGGGATGTAAAGTCCCATTTAGTTTGTTAATTAAACTTTATGTTTAACCATTAAATGAAGGCAACTCTGGCTGGGCTAAAGTGGCCCCTCTACCCCTGTGACTAAGCTGGAGCATCTCCTTTCCCCTGCTGCGGGTGCATGAGCCTGCTGTTCTGGCTGGGCTGAAGAAGCCCCCTCCTGTGGCAGGCCCCGGTGGGGGGCTGGAGAAGCCCGCTGCGAGTTGGGGGGCTACTCCAGCCCCCACTGGTTAACTGTAACCAGTAAACCTCACTAGTTAACCTTTCACAGCCCTAGTTCTACGTGAAATATTACTGAAAAGATTTTTCTTTATAGAATACTGTTTATTTTATTGTTGGGAGCCCTTCATTATAAAATAATTATTATTGGCACCTTATGATTGTAACATTGCAATACATTCTATTGCTAAACCAAAGCCGTGTGTCAACTTTTTGCAGAGGTGAAGAGTGCAAAGCTATAGCCCCAGTACTGGAGGTGCGGGACCAAAGCTGAAGCCAAGCAAGGGCCTCAGCCACAAGCAGGGGGTTTGTAATCTGAGCCCCGCTGCCCAGGGCTGAAGCCAGGCTTTGGCCCCAGGCCCCAAGCAAGTCTGAGCCAGTCTTGGTGACCCCATTAAAATGAGTTGTGATCCGCCGTGGGGTCCCAGCCGGCAGTTTGGGAACCACTGCTCTAGAGTTTCAGGACAATTTTATCTGAAGATTTTCCTCGACTAGGGCCTGCTTGAGGAGCAGGAGGGGAGTGTGGCGGGGGGGATGCTGCACTTGCACAGTGTCCTACCACAGCCAAGGCAGCTCAGCCCTGGGCAAGAGTCCACCCCCCAGAGCTCACGGCAGGGTCAGGACCCGCTACGCCCTGACCTTGACCGCAGTAGCTGCTGGCAAAGGGGTGAAGGGAACCGCTCACTCCCGCAGGCTGGGGGGCACCTGCCCCTCACCAGAGCACCCCTGTGGGGCTGGATCCCACCTGCCAGGCTGCACTCTCGATCAGCCCCACTGATAGAGAAACCCCCCTCGAAACGCCCCCCCCCAGGGC